GGAGTCCGGCCGGACTCCATGTCCAGCGGACTAAAAAAAAAACAAACGGCGGATTGGATGTTTCCTCTGAATTACAATTTGTACAATAAATAGTCCCCCCTTTATCCCCCAATCAAATACACCCTATGTGATAAGTGGATCAATTACATTGGCAACTAGATAGACGAATCGTATGGCAAGGAGGATCAATTTTAATGGCAAGTTAGATCACATTTTGTGACGAATGAGCTCAATTTCAGTAATAAATAAAATTTATTTTTTGAAAAACGAACTTATTTTTTAAAAATTATTTTTAATAAAAAAATTAGTGAAAAATCAAATTGCATGAACTTGTATCCCATTAAGTTCTAAGACTCTTTTTGTTAATTCATAAAGTCCTATTATATAAATTGTTTGAAGGCTTAAGTCCTATTTTTAAAAAAATTAACAAAAAATTTGGATTAGTTTACCATCATTTAATGACAAAGACAAATTAAAAAGAGTAATTAATACGCTGAGGTTAGGGCTGCAAATGAGCAAAGTCGAGTCAAGTTTTTGAATATTCGAGCTTGTTTATCAAGAATTAGTCGAGTTTGAGCTCGAGCTGAGCTCTAGTCGAGCTTCAAAAATCGAGCTCGAGCTCGGCTTGTTAAATATTTGTTAAACTCAAGTTCGGCTCGAGCTCACTCGATTACATTAACGAGCCAAGTTCGAGCTCGAGCTTGAGCTTGAAAAAAAATAAATTTAAGTTAATTTACTTATTAAGATTAAAAAAATACAAAATTATGAGTAAAATATAGAATAATACTTATAATAATAAATTTCATCAATCAAATATATAAATTTAAACCAAACATAAATAAAAAATAAAATAGATTATTAAAATTTTATTTAATATATTATTAAAAATAAATATCAATTTATTTAATTTTTATCTTCACGAACCTTATCGAGTCAAGCTTAGGATTACTTGAGCTCGGCTAGATTAATAAACAAGCCTCAAATCGAGCTCGAGCTCGTTCATTTAGTAAACAAGTTGAGCTTAAATGCTCTTTAAACAAGCGAGCTTGAGCTGTTCATGAATAGTTCGGTTCGTTTGCAACCCTATCTGAGATGCACCTAATTTATTTTTTATGTTTTAGATTTTAAAATTTTGCAACTTTTGTTAGACATAACTATTTGTTATATAAAATTTATACAGTTGAAATTTACTCAATAAGATTTATAAAATAGGAAATTATGTAAAATAAAGAGGAAAAAAAATTCAAACTTTTTTCTTTTGGTTATGAAAGTTACAACAAAAGTATAGCGATCCCGGTTGTCCCTTTACTGTTCTGTTGTATTCTGGACTCGGTTCCGTGAAGTTGGTAGTTATATCTATCTTGTTGTCGTCCTTTAATTCCGCTTGATTGAGTTTTAGGATGTTTTGGGCAGGGTTGTTACAGGTTGGTTAGGCCTTGGTTTCAATTCCTTGTTGCCCAATTTTTAGGCGGTCCGCTCGAGCGGGTCTTATTGCGCTCGAGCGGGGTTTACACACTCCCAGTATTTCGTGGCCCTGCAAAACTTCTGCAGGTGTGTTTTCTACGCTCGAGCGGGTTTCTTGCGCTCGAGCGGGTCGCGCTCGAGCGGTATTGTTGGCGCTCGAGCGGGTAGTCCTTTTCCTGTAAAGTTCTGGGAGATGAAAATCTGCGCTCGAGCGGACTGGTTTTCACGCTCGAGCGGATGTGTTTCGCTTTTGTTTCTTGGCGCTCGAGCGGTTATCTATGAGCTCGAGCGGGACCAGATGTTTGCGCTTTACGCTCGAGCGCTCTATTCTACGCTCGAGCGGGTCATGCGTATATGAGTTATCTGCCGGGTCATTTTAAATCACTTTTTCACTTTCCTTCTCTCTCTTACTTTCCCAAAAACCCCATTGTTGAGCTTCTCACTCTAGAACTCTACCTTCTCTCTAGGTATTGATCTAGTAGGAGTAATTTACTCACCTTTGGCCTTTATAAAAAAGTTGTTGATCGTCGAGGGCTATCTTTTGATCCGAGAAATTCGTGGTTTGGAGCATTTTCGTTTTCTTCACCTTCTTGATTGGGAGTCATCTTGAGGTAGGGGTAACCTACTCCTCACTATAGGCTTTGTCTTTAAATTTTAGTATTTTGAGATGTTAGGGTTGGTTTGGTAATTTTGTGAAAGTTTGGGGCTTTTGTGTAAATTTATAAAAGTTGGGGTTTTAGCTATATAAAACCTAGATGCATGTTTGGCATGGAAAAGTGAAATTAATGTTAAAACATTAATGAAAATGAAACCTAAGGGTTGTAATGTTAATTATGGAAAATACCCTAATTACATTGGTTAATTAATTAGCATAATTAATAATGAGAAATGAGGAATCGATTCGGAAAGATATGGGATTAAAGGGTGTGGCTGGATTATTTATCGCCCACCTAGTTGAAATGTTGATTATATATCCATTGTTGCATTTATTTTCTGTGTAGAAATAACTGTTTTGGGCTATTGGTGGAGGATAGTCTTGATTGTTGTAGACAATGCATGATGATTAGGCAAACTGAAACTAATCACTGGAATGTGTCATTGAGTATGACGGTTGAAAGAATACATTAAATTTATGTATTGTGTGATGATGTGTATAATTATTGTTTATATGCATTGTGTCGTGTTGGAGGAGATAGGGGATGTACTCCACGGTTTAGGAGAAGATAGGGGATGGACCTCTAAACTGGATGTTGTTGGGAGAAGATAGGGGATGGACTCCATAGATAGAGCTCATATGCTTATCTAGTAATGTGTTGACACAGCTCATATGCTTGTCCTTGGAAGTGTGATAGTGCTCTTATGTATATCTATGGAAGTGATGATATAGCTAGTATGCTTATCTATTATGAAATATCTATGGTGAACCCACTACTGTGGAGATGTTGGGAATGATTGAAGACCTTCAAGGAATAGTGGTAGACTTAACATTTAGGGTTTCGATCCCGTCACCAAGCTCCTCAATCTTGGGGCGAGCTATAGTTGAAAAGGGTTAACCCAAAACTATCTCAAGTCTGGGTGATGACAGACCAACAACAAGTGGGCCTCGTTTCTATATAGCCACCCATTCCCTTGGAAAATAGACTGTAACATGGACTTGTATGTCATGAAACTGTAAAGTGTTATAAGTGAAAGTATCAGTGTTGGCCTTCTATCAACTGCTAATCTTTTAGTCATTGTTCATATTTGGTTTAGTGTATTTCTACTGGGCTGTGGCTCACCCTATATGGGAACATCATTTTCAGGTATAGGTAGCATGCCACCTCCAAGGACGTAGCTTGGGAGGCTAGAGGCGGACACACTTTTGTTGTCTTATTTCTTTTGATGTATTACATGTAAATTCAAGCCAAGGGCTTAATGTGTAATTGAGTTAGTACTCTCTTTTGTAACCAAGTGTTAACTTGGAAAGCTGTAAGCCTGTAGGGCATTTGCTTTTGTCGTTAACATGTGATACTTTTGTAATGAAGTACTCTGATGAATTGAACATGTGGATCTTTTGTATATAAATGTATGTTTATATTGATGGGTTTAAATGTTTTTTTTTAGGGCGTTACAAAAAGTTATTTTTAAAAATTTAAATTTTCATACTGAAGAAAATAATGTGAAAGTTATAAATGTGAATGTTTACATTCAAAAAGTTATAAATGTGAAATAACATAAATTTTTATTGATATTTAATTTTTTTTAAAAATAAAATAAAATAATTTTTTATTTGATATGCTAAAAAAAATTAATATGTTAAATACAAAATACTATTACTTAGTAAATAATTGAAAATAATAAAATAATCTATTAAACATTTATCTTTCTTCATAATATTCTAATCAAACATTAAATTTAATCAAATAATTCTTTACAGTCATTTAATCCCATAAAAAAATAAACATAAATACATATTCTTTCTAACCAAATAATCCAACAATTATATCTGTGCAAATGAGTCCGTCTAAACAAACACAACCAGACTGTACTGATGTTCCATGCCCCATTTAAAATGCTCCATTTGTACTTCTCCTCTCCAAATCTTGCTGCGAAGTGCCAATCAAGAGATTCGCTCACTCACCAGCTATCTACTCCAAAGCAGTTTACCAAATTCAGTTTCACTGTTAAACCCTGAACCCATATTATTACCAAACGACAGTCTCTACTATTTCTGATTGATTTTGCTTTTGGGGTTATCATAGTAACCATTTGAATAGATTCTTCTTTGTTTTTTTAATGGGTGTTGTATAAAACTTCCTTATTGCTGTTCTGGTCACCACTTGTTTGATGGAATGTCAGTGAGAGGTTCATCCACGCTGAATTCACATGCAAATTTGAAATTGTTATCAGTGTTACAGAGCCCAGTGTGCCCATACCCATATAATCAAAATTTTGTTTTGGTATGTTGTTTAGGGTACTTTGGAAACGGAAATGTTTGGAAACATTTTTGAAAGATTAAGGGAAATGACAAAAGAATTTGAAATGTTAGTAACAAAAATTAAAACCATTAGGCTATATAGATGTTAATGCATTCTAATAATTAAATAATTGCACATAAACAATATGGTTAAAGGCTTAGTTGGGATACAGATTACCATTGTATCAAAAAAAAAAAATCTAACATTGTTAGGGGTGAAAAAAAAAATTAAAAAAAAATTACTTCAGGATAGCTGTAACAAAGAGAGAGAATGAGCAACTTAATCGTGTTCGTTTTTATCTTCTTCTCTCTGTCTATCTTTTTCTCAGTGTCTAATAAATTTAAGATTTTTTTTTATTCTCTCCTTTTATTTTTATTTTATTTTTGATGGATAAAATGTGACAAATGACATTGTTAAATATTCTTAATAAGTACCAAAACAACTAATTCTTTTGGTACGTTCCATAGTGTTTCGTAGTGTTCCGGGTATGTCGTAGTGGAAATATTGAATTTTGGATATTCAAGTATTGTTTCGTTTCACTTTACTAGGAAACAAAATCACTTCAGGGCTGCTTCAATGGAAAATAAATGAAATTTTGTTCCTTGCTCAAACATTGTATTTTGAAACTACAACTCTTTGTTCTTTTTTTGACCCACATCAAATTCTCTCATTCAATGTTAGGTACTAGTCACTGCAAACAAAGATTTAAAAAAAAAAGTGCAAAGTACTTACAAGCAGCTATTAGAAGCTTAAGTAGCAAAGAAATCTTACAAACACATCCTCTTACACTAATCAAAATCAATAAACAAAACCCTGGTTTGGTTCAAGCATTGTTGCTTCCATTAACAGTCCCTGGCATAAGCTCTCTCAACATGGCAACCACTTGCAACATATTAGGCCTCTTTGATGGGAAGTCTTCAACACACCGTAGCGTTATCTCTAGATACCTCACCATCTCTTTCACTTCTTCTTCTTCAGCTTCGTCCGTTCCTTTAGTCACTGAAAGCAACTCCGAGTCAATCACTTCCATTCCTTTCCCTTCTCTGACCTTCAATTTCACCCAACCGACCAAGTTAGTGTCCCCAAAATCATCCTTATCAGTTGGCCTTTTCCCGGTTAAGAGTTCCAAGAGGACAACCCCGAATGAATAGACATCTCCCTTTGCAGTGCACCGGAAGCTTTGGTAGTACTCAGGTGGGACGTACCCCGGTGTGCCTGCCAATGTGCTCACACTTAGATGAGTGTCTAGTGCACTTATGAGCCTGGCCATTCCAAAGTCAGAGACCCGAGCTTCCATTTCATGGTCTAGTAGTACATTGCTCGACTTCATGTCTCGGTGTATGATATGTGGGATACAATTGTGGTGTAGGAAACAGAGTCCTTTGGCCGCACCTCTTGCAATCTTCTTCCTTTCCTCCCATGTTAAAATTCTTTTATCTCGTGTCTTTGTTCTTCCGTGAAGCATTTCCTCAAGGCTTCCAAATTCCATGAATTCATACACTAGAAGCCTCTCCTCCCCAATTTTGCAGTATCCCAATAGAGGGACAAGGTTCCTATGGTTGATCTTCCCCAAAGTTTCCATTTCGGCCATGAATTCCCTGTCCCCCTGGCAACTCAACCGTATTAACTTCTTGATTGCTACGCTCGACCCGTCTTTCAATGTTGCCTTGAAAACCTCTCCAAACCCACCACACCCGATCAGACTTTCCGCTGAGAACCCATTTGTTGCCTCAATCAGTTGTGAGAACTTCAGTTTCCGTAGTGTTCGCTGGAAAGTTGCCACATTAATGCTCAAAGGCTCTTTCTCCTTGTCAATTTTCCATGTCGTAGCAGCATGAGATGCTTGCAATATGTTAAGCATCTTGACTTCCTCAGCTTCTTTCCGCCTCGCACGCATTGCAATTGCCCACACAATCAAAATACAGACAGAAGCAACCGAAATGAGAACCCCCAAGACGATGCTATTAGCCCATGACGAAGATGAAGCTCTACTGCCATCATTCGCACCATCCTCACTCGGATTTGTTGCTGGTTGATCATTTCCGGTCTGGCATTCAGGCAACGGAACCCCACAAAGTCCTGGATTGTTCGCATACTGGCTCGCGGGAAGTGTGCTGAGTTGTCCCCTTGATGGAATTCGCCCTGTCAGTTCATTATTGGAGAGATCAATCTGCACCAAGAATGAGAGATTCGAGAATGAGTCCGGGATGTTCCCCTGCAATCTGTTATGCGATGCGTCGAATACGCCTAGATTCTTTAGCTGGCCGAGTGAAGAAGGAATCTCTCCCGATAAATGATTATGGGATAATACGAGAACTTGTAAAGCTATCATATCCCCGAATTCATCTGGGATTTTCCCGCGAAGCTCATTGTATGAAAGATCTAGGTACTCCAGAGTCTGGTACTGCGTGAAGAGGCTTAGGACTGCACCAGAATACATCCTTGTGAAGTCACAACTTTTCAAAGTCGGAACCTGTAAAAGCCTTTCTGGTCGGATTCCAGCGAATTCAAGTAAGCCTCCTACTCCTTTACATGAATTTCCAACATTACGTACAAACACCAATGTGTTGCCTGAAAGAATTCCACCCAGTGCTCGTGCTCCGAGCTGCCTCCCGAGCCGAGGAGGTATCTCCCCTGTAAGCCGGTTGCTGTTCAAGTCTAGCCAAACCAAGCTGCTGCAATTTGCTAGCTCTCTCGGTATTTCACCATTCAAGCTATTATTCGCAAGTTGCAGCACGGCTAGCCTCGATAAAAGACCGAATTGGCTTGGAATTTGGCCAGTGAGTCCGTTGCTAGTGAGAGATATCCATTCTAGATTACCACAATTGAACAATTCAACTGGGATTTCTCCGCTTAGGTAGTTGTTGTTCAGAATCAGATCCCTTAGATTCTTGCATTTTCCCAACTCTTTTGGTATATTCCCGTCCAAGCCGTTGTACCACGCTATTAGCTGCTCAAGATTTTCAAGCTTCCCAATTTCAGCCGGGATAGTACCGTTGAGGTAGTTTATGCTGAAATCAATTGTCTTTAGCTGCGAACATAGCGATAATTCAGCTGGGATTTGTCCAGTAATGAGATTGTCCGGGAGCCTCAACTCTTCAAGCGATGAGGCTCCCGGGCATAGATCCGCTGGGATGATTCCCGAGAACTGATTCGAGCTTAAATCCACAACCCGCAATTTCTTGCAAGATGAAATGGATGCTGGAAACGATCCCGAGATTTTATTATTGCTCAAAAGCAAGCTCTCCAACGATCCAAGATTCTGTAGGATGGAATCAGGAAATGGACCGGTTAAATTGTTGTTTGCGAAATCAATTACTTGCAGCCAAGAACACGATGAAAGGGAGATTGGAATTGTGCCCGTGATATTGTTATAGGAAAGCTTTAGTTCTACGAGCGACTCACACGAATTTCCCAACTCCGAAGGGATCCAACCAGTGAGATGATTGTGAGAAAGATCCAATCTTTGTAAGCTGGTAAGATCACCAAAAGATTGTGGAATGTCCCCGGTGAGCAAGTTATACGAGAAATTCAAACTTTTGAGATTGGTGCAATTTGAAAGGGAATAAGGAAGGGAATCAATTATATGATTCCCAGACATATCGAGGTGTAACAAGGAATTGCAGGTCTGGACTTTCATATTCGCAATTGAACCCGTGAGGTTGTTAAAAGAAAGATCAAGAACCTCTAGTTTATCGGAACTGATTAGAAGATTTTCAGGTATGATACCAGTTAGATTGTTGAACGAAAGATCGACGTAAACAAGATTTGGGTACTTGATGAAAAGATTTTCGGGTACAAGACCTGCAAGCCCAGAGAAAGACAGTTCGAGCTGTTTCAACCCATATGGGAGTTGAAGCAAAGAAGTTGAATTCACAGTAAATGAATTACTTGACAGATTGAGGAGAGTTAACATATCAAGAGAAGCGAAAACAGAGAAAGAAAGATTGCCAACGAGATTACACTGGCTGAGATCGAGTTGAGTCACTCTTCCAAGATTGCATGAAACTCCATACCATGTGCATGGACTCTTGTTGAGCTTCCACCCTGACAAGACTTGTTTCGGATCGTTCTCTATCGTCTTCTTGAACAGAATAAGAGCCTCAGTGTCGGTTTTGACGGATGAAAATCCGGCTTGCTCGGCTGCTAAGGTTGAAGCAAACAACATGAGAATTAGTGATAGTGGAAGGTGAATGAAAAGCAGTAATGGGTTGATCTCCATTGGAGAAATGAATTGCAGGAACACAGAGTAGAGGGAGATGGAGAAAGGGTGAGAGGGAGAAGAGATAGTATGTTTGTTTGGAGAGTGAGAGAGAGAGAGAGAGAGAAAGTGATAGAGTGCTAAGTATGATGAGAATTTCTTTGTTGCAAAGTAGGAGGAGGGTGGTGAGCTTTTAGAAAAAGTTCTTTTTTTTTTCTTTTTTAAATGTTTTATAAATGAAAAAGGAGGGAACGTGGGAAGGAATATGAAAAGTAGGGAATTGGATTGAACTTTGGTGGGTATTTACTTAATTAGCTACTTATACGGGATATGTTTTGTTAGTTTTCAATCTTTCAAAGATCTGAACTATAGTGTCTCTAGCCTACTTTTAAATATAATGTTTAATTTAGTGGAATGAAATACAATAAAATAGAATGGTGTGGACATTTTATAGCCTCTCTATGAAATGAATATTTCCTTACCTATAACGTTAGAAGTACAAAATTATAACATAGAATGTACAAAGAAAATGAATTATACGGTTAGAATTCATCTTTAGTGTGATATGAATTATATTTAAAATAAATCTTAGTTACACTATATTTTTTGTGCATATTCCATGTTGCAATTGCGTATACTTCGCAGTTTTGTTCCCTTATAATAGTGAATGATGATTTTATTTGTAATATATTGTCTATTATTTATTTAGTTCATCAAACGTAACAATGAACATTATGTTAGAATGATTATTTCATTTTAGTTTATTCCAGTAAACCAAACAAAGCATAAGAGTATGGTAAAGAAGAGTCGTTAAACTGTGGAATGATGAATCCGCAATAGGTGACATATGATACAAATAGAATTAATGAACCTCTTCAACTCTCAAGATTTGCACTCTCAACTTTTGTTCTTGGAAAAAAAGTTTAATACAAAAATTATCACACACTCAGATATAATCTTTTTACATGAGGTGGTCCTATCTTTTTATAAATTCTACTATATATGAAAGGGTTGTATCTAAATTTTGTGATTGATTTCTGTATAGATAAAAGAAGTGACTGTCGGGAGGTAATGCCACGTCAGCATATGTTTTTGAGTACTAGATAGAGTAGAAGGCTGGTCAAAAGAGGTTAGGGACCCACAAACAAAGCTCTATATCTAAGATCGGTGCTTTATGGAGAAAAAAATAGTGAAGTGTGTGTTTGATCCAATGGTCACTATCTGTCAGTGAGCGTGAGTGTGTCTTTCATATTACAAATGTGAACGAATATGATATAGTGGAGTGAGTATCCAGTAGAACCTAATTTTATGGAGAAAAGATAGGGATCATGAAAAAATTTTCATGGAATTGATCATGAAAAATTTATGATCATTAGATTACCTTGATTAGTGTGTGGTGTTTTATTTTAAGTGTAATCCAAAGGTCATAAATCTTTCATGATCATTTTCATGAAAGTTTTTTCATGATACCTAGCATTGTTCAATTTTATGTGCACGTATCTTTACATTTCATAGAAAGTATTGCATGGGTTAAATTCTCTCTCTGGGACAAGGTTATTACATGGTATTAAATTTATATTAAATGGTATTAAATTTCATTTACGCTCCGTTTGAGTAGAAAAAAATAGTATTACATATTTTTTACTTTTTTTTTTTAAAAAAATTTTTTTGAAAACATTTTTCTTTGATGGTGATAGTGGGGCAGAGGTGGTTGCCTAATGGTGGGATGGCAGCGAAAATGATAGCAGTGGTGATCGTGATGACGGTGGTGTGATGGTGGAGGTAGCGATGATACTATGATGGCATCAATAAGATTTTAATTCAAAATATATTTTTTATCTTTTAAAAGTGAAAAATATTTTATGTGCAAATAGATTTGTTTTCTAATTGACTATGAAGAAAGTTTGTTTTTCATTGTATCAAACGTTAGAAAATGTAAAAAATATTTTTCATCCAAACAAACGGAACGATAAGTTATGTTTGCTTTGCAAATAAAGGGTGAGATAAAATTATTTTCTTGGATAAAAAACTAATCCTTATTTTGTTCATATTTTGTAATGCCACGATAACTTATCCCATGGGTGGGGACAACTTATAATAAGAAGGGTAATTCTATTTGCATATTATAAAACATTTGAAGACATACTATTTGTGGTGTTTGGATAATTTTTGAATTAAAATTACATATTTTAGTTCGGATATAAACAGTTAAACAGAATGTATATTTGAATAATTTATTTTTGTTTAAAACTTTATGTTTACTTTTAGTTGAAATTTTCTATCCGAATATTATAAATAATGTGCAAATAGAATTTTCCTAATAAGAATAAGAATTTCGCCACAAATTTGACGAAATTACTGTCAACCATTTATCCCATTAGCGAGCCAAACAGAGCCGAACATTGATTAAATCTCTTTTCAGAAGAAGTATGGCATAGTGTTGCATGATATATTTAGGGGAGGTCTGATAACACTAGAATTGGAGTTCTAATCTCAATTCTAAGAGCATCTCCAACGGTAATAGGCATTTTACCTATCTAAATATTATTATAAAGTATATATTTTATTTTGCCTATCGACTGTTTTATGTTTTTACTCCAACCATGCTCTTTATTTTAGCTATTTATCCAAATATTATTAATTTTATAGAATGCCACGTCAACAACAAAGATTTAACGCGCCATAGTTAGTTCGGTCCAAGTATGAAAAGGGATTGGCAAGTGTTACCACGGTCCAAGTGTGATTAAAGTCACCAGACGGAGTAAAGGTAGTTATCTCGGTCATGGTATTCAGAACCAAGGTATTTGGGCTTCTTGCGGTGGACCTAGCTATCGTTAGCTTGGTCGGGGGTTTACTATGGTTAGCACGGTAGTAAGTAAACACCACAGTTGGAGTATGTCAAACCGAGGTACACGCAGTGAAAGGAAGAACCAAGCTAGTTGGAGTTCGGTCTAGTCTGCGGCTTTAGCATGGTCATGTTAGCTCGGTCGTATTGACATCCAACCGTGGTAAAACCATCTCACTTGGTTTAAGCAGTGAGGGGGGTGTTAAAGGATAAGCATTATCTTTCAGGAATGTGATTCTTAGGAGGACTCTATATGGAGGAGTAAGAGTTCTACTTGGATTGTGCCACGCGGAACCTATAAAAGCTCATAACATCATCTATGGAGAGGTAACACAACTTTGATTCCCGAACACACAGAGCTTTTTGTCTATTTGTCTATTTTGCTGACTTAGACATCGGAGAGGTATCCGGCACACACCCGCCGGCTAACTCACATTTGTATTTTCAGGGAGTAAAGCGACGACGTACGGAGGAGCGCAGACTTGATCAACAGGATTATACGGGAAGAATTATTTCATGCCCGTACAATTGGCACCGTCTGTGGGAAATATCAGACAAGAACAAAACCTCTTGATCCAGTTAAACTCGCTAATCAAAAGCAATGGCACACAATGAAGATTTGCCACAATTCGCCATCGACGGACAAACCCCAGAGAGGGGTGGAAGGCGCGAAGGTTTGCCCACCATCCCTCCCATGGCGGATTTGGAGCCACAGCGACAGAACCCCCGGAGGGATGCAAGGGGGAGGAGGCGGACTGACAGCCCCCGTCGCTCTCGCTCACCAAGTCTTGACAGACAAAGGCGGAGGATCGACCCTCAAGCTCTGGAGGATCGCGTCAAGGAGAAGGACGAGTTGATATGAAGGATGGCGGCGGACATGGAATCAATGAAGCGCCAAATGAAAGGAAAAGGGGTGGCGACAGGAGAGGGGCGCAAAAGCAAGACGTCCCCTCGCCACTCGGAAGATCGTGGTAGGCATACCACGCCATCGCAAGCAGAGAGTAGGAGCCTTAGAACAGGCGATACCCAAACAAGGACTTCTAGGACTCGTTACTCCAGGTCTAAGAAAACGAGAACTGAGAGGTCATATACTGAGGGAAGCACCTATCGGCCCTCGTGTACGCACCAGACGGCATCCAGGCAGACGGAGTTGCCCAGGTCATCTGACTTGCGGACTGTGCTTGAGGAAAGGGCGCGATGGAAGGAGGATACCAGGGCTTGCAGAGTCTCAGCCCTTCAGCAGTTGGCTCCTTGGACGCATGGAAGCGTCGAGGTAGGAATGCCAATACCGCGCCCTGCTTACGAACCAACGGACAAAGTGTTAGCGAGGCTGCAGACCTCGCTGTTCGTTCCAGCAATTGAGAACGCGCCCCTACCTTCTGGTTTCCTTCAGCCTAAATTCACCACTTATGAAGGGAAGACGGACCCCTACTCACACTTGAGCCACTTTCGCCAGGTTATGGCTATATACCGGCGAAACGAAGCTTTAATGTGCATCCTATTCCCATCTAGCCTTGGCGACCTAGGTTTAACCTGGTTCGAAAGGCTACCAGAAGGCAGCATCGCCTCCTGGGCACAGTTGGCAGAGGCGTTCGTAATAAGGTTCAGAACAAACACCAAAATGCCAGTGGAGATCGACCAACTTCTCTCAATTGACATGGACGACAAAGAGACGTTAAGATCCTACAATAGTCGCTACTGGGAGACCTTCAACCAGATTGGGGATTGCCCCACCAATCTCGCCATCGCACAATACAAAAGAGGTCTTCCAGTCGGAAACAAGTTGAGGGACTCAATCACCATGACGCCACCCCATACGATGGAAGCCTTGATGGAGAGAGTACACCAACATATTCGCGTGGAGGAAGATGGCAACCATGCTAAAGCAAAATCCGGCACAACCGTAATACCAGATAAAAAGACTACGGCAAAAGTCAACGCAGTAGAACGTCCAAGCAGAAATGGGCAAGGCAGGCGGGACAATGGAGAGGACCAAGACAAAAGGAGGTTGAGAAGTCCGCACTGCCATTACCACGGTGTTCAAAAAATCGATCTATCGGATTATTAGCGAGATTTGCAATGAACCTTTCGTCCGATGGCCTGCTAAACTGGGAGAAGCGCAAAGAGACTATGACGAGAGGTCGTGGTGCACCTTCCATGATGAAAAGGGGCACCACACTAAAAATTGCACACCATTAAGGCAGCATTTGGAGGAGTTAGTAGCAGCTGGGCACCTAGACCAATACATAGAAGGAGGGACACAACTAGCCCCCCAGAACCATAACAACCCAAACGGGATGCCGGTCGACGCTCCAC